TCATTTAATACAGCTTGGCTGTATTGGATGTTTGGATTTTTCTTTTGTACAGTTGCTTGGGAGTATATTTTTTAAAAACAGTGTACAAAACATGCCTTTCCCCAATTTGATTCTTACCTCTTTCTAAGAGCAGTAACTTTTGGAAAGTTACAGTTAGTTGCAGTTACAAGTCCCCCAAAGTAGTAAGTTACTGTTATATGTTCCAAGTTTGGAAAATACACTTTTCACTTTTGGATTATAAAAAAGTAATTGGAAGAGTTACTCCTAGTTACTCTTTAAAATATGGGAAAACAACAAGCCACTGGCTTCAGGAACAGTGATGCATAAGTTGTGACAAGATGCACACTCGTAACAATAAAAGGAACTTTACGTTCACAGAAGAACGAAATTTCATTATGGTATAATGTAGGGATGTGAATCTTACAGCGTCTTGCTTTTGGATGGAAATCAATAAAAATTCTGTTTCTCTCCGCACATTAAGATTTCTCTTTTGAGATTTTCCCCCACCCCATGAGAAATAGTAAGATTTCTCAGATGTTTTGAGGTCCTTTGTCGAGGTGTGTGGGATTATTACAGTGCAGAATTAAAGGTGCAGAATGAAACCTTTCCTGAGTAGGATTTACCTGGAAAGAGCAAAAGAAACACAAAGCCGTGCAGGATTCTTACAATTCCTGTGCAGAATGGCACCTCTCCTGTGCCGGATTTACTTGGGAAGGACAAAAGAAACAAAGCCGTGCAGAATTGCTACAATTCTAACACAGAATAGCATCTTTCCTGTGCAGGATTTACTTGGAAAGGGCAAAAGAAACACAAAGCCGTGCTGGATTATTACAATTCCTGCACAGAACAATGCCTTTCCTACACAGGATTTACCTGGGAAGGGCAAAAGAAATACCAAGCCGTGCTGGATTTTTACAATTCCTGCACAGAACAATGCCTTTCCTACACAGGATTTACCTGGGAAGGGCAAAAGAAATACCAAGCCGTGCTGGATTTTTACAATTCCTGCACAGAACAATGCCTTTCCTACACAGGATTTACCTGGGAAGGGCAAAAGAAATACCAAGCCGTGCTGGATTTTTACAATTCCTGCACAGAACAATGCCTTTCCTAC